CCTGAAGATTCTGATCATGATGTAGAGACAACTTTTGCTTCCATTAAATTGATATAAGTAACTTCCTCAATATATAAATCTTGAGATATCTGATTGAATATAATTACTGCTTGTCATTTCCAAGGTCATACTAATTTGTATGGACTGTTTATTCTTTTAGTAAATATATATTGGCACAAACAATGAAGAATATTTACCAATGCCAATGATAAATACAAGTATTTATACATCAGAATAATGAACAAATGTGTATTCTTGAGTATGTAATCAAAATTAATAAGCAAATACAGTGTACTACTGTTAATTCAAAAAGTAATCATTTGCAACAGATGAATGCAAATTAATCTCTGGACAATTCAATCAGTTGTTTAATGGTAGAAATCTTTCGTATGCATATAAAAGTATCAGTATAAATATGAAGGTATGATTTGGTGTTTATACAACTTTAAAATTCATAAAGACAAAACATTGTACAAGAGCACAAGCAAGGTCAAAACATTTCTTTGCCATAAGAAGACAATTGCAATACACTCCCAGTATTATGAACATGTGTACAAGTTTCACTCCATGATAAACTATCTCAAACAAAAACTTGTACATCATCAGTGAACTGCCAAATTTTGGCAAAACTCTTAATTTGACAAATACTTTTAAAAGTTTACTTCATAAGTTTCAAGTTAATGTAACTATAACTGCATGGTAAAGTACCTTAAATTTATCAAACAATATCATTCACCATATTAACCTACCTGGCTATTTCAGTGACGATGTTACACTGTATCACTCAAAAATATCATTCACCATATTAACCTACCTGGTAATCTCAGTGACGATGTTACACTGTATCACTCAAAAATATCATTCACCATATTAACCTACCTGGTAATCTCAGTGACGATGTTACACTGTATCACTCAAAAATATCATTCACCATATTAACCTACCTGGTAATCTCAGTGACGATGTTACACTGTATCACTCAAAAATATCATTCACCATATTAACTTACCTGGTAATCTCAGTGACTAAGTTACACTGTATCACTCACTGAGATAGCCAGGTATGTTAATATGGTGAATGAGATTGGTGAGTGAAAGTGTAACTTTGTCACTGAGAAAACCAGGTAAGTTAATACGGTGATTGAAATCGGTGAGTAATACATTGTAACATTGTCACTGAGAAAACCAGGTTAGTTAATATGGTGAATGAGATTTGTGAGTGATAAAGTGTAACTTTGTCACTGAGATAGCTGGGGAAGTTAGTATGGTGAATGAGATTGGTGAGTGATACTTTGTCAAAGAGACAGCCAGATAAGTTAATATGGTGAATGAGATTGGTGAGTGATAAAGTGTAACTTTGTCACTGAGATGACCAGGTAAGTTAATATGGTGAATGAGATTGGAGAGTGATACAGTGTAACTTTCTCACTGAGATAGCCAGGTAAGTTAATATGGTGAATGAGATTGGTGAGTGATACTTTGTCACTGAGAAAGCCAGACAAGTTAATATGGTGAATGAGATTGGTGAGTGATAATGTGTAATTTGTCACTGAGATAGCCAGGTTAGTTAATATGGTGAATGAGATTGGTGAGTGATAGTGCAACTTTGTCACTGAGATAGCCAGGTAAGTTTAATATGGTGAATGATATTGGTGAGCAATAAAGTGTAACTTTGTCACTGAGATAATCAGGTAAGTTAATAAGGTGAATGAGACTGGCAAGTGATACAGTGTAATATTGTCACTGAGAAAACCAGGTAAGTTAATATGGTGAATGAGATTGGTGAGTGATAGTGTAATATTGTCACTGAGAAAACCAGGTAAGTTGACATGGTGAATTATACTGGTGAAGGATACAGTTTAATATTGTCACTGAGATAACCTGGTCTGAAGTATGTTATATTGCTGAGCGAAACAGTGTAACATCATGAATGGCAAAAGAATTTGGCAAAAGAAATATAAGGGTTCGACCTCATCCATCTTATCAATTTTGTTTCAGGTTTCTCTAGACTTTTTCCCTGATCAGACAATAATCTGATTTCACCTTGAACTGGTCACATACATCAATTTCATCAGAATATCAATAATCAGTTAATTGCATTTGATAGCAATCCGCAACAATGGACTAATTAAACTAGAGGCTCTCAAGAGCCTGTGTCGCTCACCTGATTCTACTTTGGTTTTGGAAATCATGTAAAAATAGATTAAAATCATAACAGATACCCTAATAATGAGTGAGGCCAAATCTGGTTAAATATTGGTCCTGTAATTTAATAAAAAATCCTGGTGGCCATCTTGAACAGTAAATCGGCAACAAAGTAGCAACACTTAATCAGCACCTCATAAGAAACATTTATGCCATGTTTTGGTTTCATTCCATTCAGTGCACCTCTAGAAGAAGCATTTGTATGTATTTCCCATAGGGTCTTATGTTAAAGGAAGTCCCCCCATTGGCGGCCATCATGGATGAAGGATCAGCTTCAAAGTAACAAAACTTAGTCAGCACCTCATAAGGAACATTCATGCCATGTTTGGTTTCAATCCATTCAGTATGTGGTTCTCTAAAAGAAGACATTTGTATGTATTGTCCATAGGGTTCTTTGTTAAACATTGTCCCCATCTGGCAGCCATCATGGATGAAGGATCAACTTCAAAGTAACAACACTTGGTCAGCACCTCAAAAGGAACATGCATGCCATGTTTGGTTTCATTCCATTCAATGGTTCTCTAAAAGAAAACATTTGTACGTATTTCTCATAGGGTCCTATGTTAAACTAAGTCCTCCGTTGGCGGCCATCTAAAATTATGGATCGGCTTCATAGTAACAACACTCGGTCAGCACCTCATAAGGAACATTCATGCCATGTTTGGTTTCATTCCATTCAGTGGTTCTCTAAAAGAAGACATTTGTATGTATTTCCCATAGGGTCCCATGTTAAACTAAGTGCCCCGCTGGCGGCCATCTTGGATTATGGATCGGCTTCGAGGTAACAACACTCGGTCAGCACCTCATAAGGAACATTCATACCATGTTTGGTTTCATTCCATTCAGTGGTTCTCTAAAAGAAGACATTTGTATGTATTTCCATAGGGTCCCATGCTAAACTAAGTCCCCCGCTGGCGGCCATCTTGGATTATGGATCGGCTTCAAAGTAACAACACTCAGTCAGCACCTCATAAGGAACATTCATACCATGTTTGGTTTCATTCCATTCAGTGGTTCTCTAAAAGAAGACATTTGTATGTATTTCCCATAGGGTCCTATGTTAAACTAAGTCCCCCGCTGGCGGCCATCTTGGATTACGGATCGGCTTCAAAATAACAACACTCGGTCAGCACCTCATAAGAAACATTCATGCCATGTTTGGTTTCATTCCATTCAGTGGTTCTCTAAAAGAAGACATTTGTATGTATTTCCCATAGGGTCCTATGTTAAACTAAGTCCCCCGCTGGCGGCCATCTTGGATGATGGATCCGCTACAAAGTAACAACACTTGGTCAGCACCTCATTAGGAACATTCATGCCATGTTTGGTTTCATTCCATTCAGTGGTTCTCTAGAAAAAGTTCAAAATGTAAATAGTTTACGCCGACGCCGAACGACGCACGACGGATGCCAAGTGATGAGAAAAGCTCACTTGGCCCTTCGGGCCAGGTGAGCTAAAAAAGGTGTTAATTGTATTGTTTAATGAAAATGTGTGGTAAAATTGCGTCACATGTCACCTTAAGAATTTTTTTTACAACTTCGATAAAAATAATAGTTTTGAAGTGGGTACTTCACAATCACTTTAGAGGCACACCTATTTTAAGCATAATTAATGTCTCAACTCAACTTTTTTTATTAAAAAAGGCTCGGAAAAGGAAAACTATTGTTTTGAAGAAAGGGTTCAAAAGTAAGAATCTCTGACTTTATTTTTTGTACTTTAACAAGACAGGAAGTATCCAATAAAATGATTGAAGATGAACCCTGTGTTCCCAGAAGTCAAATTTTACAGTATCTATAAAAAAAGTTCAAGAAATTTTTGTTCTAATTGAGTGTTCATTTACTACAATGTAGGATATGAAATATATGTGTAGAATTATAATAAATGAGACAACAATGCTGCAAATTTATCTTTTTTGTAAGCAAGAATGAAAACAAGTTCTGAAACAAAAAAATGTTTATGTGAGTTGGCGAAAAAAAATTGAGAGTGGCGTAAAAAAATGGTTTGGTGAAAGGGTGGTAAAAAAAAAAGAAATTGACCCAGGGGAAACCCTGCAACTAAATAAAGCAGTATGTCAAGATCTCCTGATTTTCACAAAAATTCATTTAAGTAATGAATCCAATTCATTGAATCACACGCAAAAAAAAATATCTCATCTTCTATCAAAATGTAATAGACCTTGAAAATGCTAATGCAATATGCAGTCTTCAGAAATTCAAATGTTTATGTAGAAGACTCATGTGTAATACAAATTACTTGCTTCTAGTTAACAGCCTCCATGGTCTCGTGGTACATGTTGTATGGTTGCCTTGAGTGCTGGAGATTGTTGGTTAGAAACCCAACCTGGTCAAACCAGACTCTAAAATTGGTATTTGTTGCTTCTCCACTAAGCACAAGGCTTTATGGAGAAAGAGCAAAGACCGGTCTGCTTGGGAGTCAGAATAATGTGTCCTGGTAGCTATAGGGTGATATGTCTTCCTGCTGTGAACTACCTTGTGAACTAGCACGCTAAAAATCTGGCTCAGAGTGTTTGTCTAGTACAAAGCAGGGTTCAAATTCCTATTAACATGTTCTTGTCATGAATATGCATTTAATTTGCCACTGGACATTTGTCAGCCAGATATCCAATCATTAATACTTTAAGTATCATTTACCATAACATTAACAAATAAATAAAGAATGTGTCCATGGGACACAGATGATGTCCCTGCTTGCATATAACGTTATAAAGTGGCATAACTAGAGAACAGTACAAGTGACACTACCCATCTACTTGATCTGAGTTTTATGGTAATAAGTATTGTGTATAAGTTTCATAACATTTGGTTGAGGCAAACTTAAGTTAGAGAACGGAAACGAAAAATTCAGCAATTTTTCCATTTGTAAATGGGCATAACTCTAGAACAGTAAAAGTGACGCCACCCAAATTCAAACTTGATCTGTGTTTTGTGGTAATAAGCATTGTGTATTAGTTTCATAACATTTGGTTGAGGTAAACTAAAGTTAGAGAACAGAAACTTATTTTGGGACATGCGGATGAATGGACAGACGGACTGACAGACAGACAAGGGTAACACTTAATGCCCCTGTTAGCTGAGGCGGGGGGCATAAATAAAATAAGGGAAAATCTTTGTTTTGTGGCTTACTATAAGCCTGTAACTACCTATCTTGTACCAGTACATTTTATGTGCATGTATATGTAGCATTATATGGAGAAATTGTTTTTCTTGTCTCTATTCTCTTTGCTTATGATTGATTTATGCGACAAACTGTGACTAAATCAAAGTTCTAAAATTGGTATTTTCAAATGACAAATAAATGAATGTATATCTATTTCAGCAAACCTCTACATGTCTTTGTAAGTGTATGGATCCATAATTCATCATGTGATACTTTGAAACCTTAGTCTCTACATGTCTTTGTAAGTGAATGGATCTATAATACATCATGCGATACTTTGAAACCTTAGTCTTCCAAGGTTAAGAATAATTTAGCTTTCTGTATAGATTTATTTATTAATGTTTTTTTTTCATTTTAGCTATAATGTGTCTGAGCTGTAATCATGTAAATTAAGATGGTATACAGAAATCAATATCATAATATAAGTAAATAGCATATCATTACATCAACATTTAACTGTCATTTTAAGAAAAATAGAATCATTAAGGGTATGTTTGTCTAATGGTTTTCAAGGTTTTTTTTTCAAGACCATCTGCTTACTGATTCCAGTGCAATTAGGAAATCTACATTGCTACATCTTTTCATGTAATATCTGAGCTACAATAAGTCATTTCTAAAATATACCATATATGCCAGACACCTTATATTCTCATTAACTGGTCGAAAGTCAGGGATTTGATGAAAAACGAAGGTGGTATCCAGACAACAAGAATAAATATGGTATAGCCATATTTTCATGAACTCTCAGCATAAATAAAATGCTCCGCTGGGCGCAGCTTCATATGACCGCAGAGGTCGAACCCTGAACAGTTGGGGCAAGTATGGACACAACATTCAAGCTTGATACAGCACTGAATTTGGATTGTGAATAAATATTTGACACAGCATAGGTTTCTGACACAGAATGAATGTGGTCTAAGAACTTAAAAAAATTTAATTTACCTATTCAAACCATATCATTATTATTTGCTTTAATATAAATCAGAAATAACCAATATAAAATGGAAAATTTAAAAGAAAAAAAAGGAAAAAAATCCCCCCCCCTAATTTTTTGAACCCCCTTATGATTCATCACACCCAAACTCAATCCCAGCCTTCCCTTTGTGGTATGGTACCTTGCAGTACAATTTCAGAGAGATCCATACACTTGAACACAAGTTATTGTCTGGAAACTAGAAAAATGCTTGTTTTTTGGCCCCTTTATTCCTAAATGTTTAGGGCAAATACCCCCAAACTCGAACCCAGCTTTCCCTTTGTGATATGGAACCTTGTTTTACAATATCATAAAGATCCATACACTTACACACAAGTTATTGTCCTGAAACTAGAAAAATGCTTGTTTTTTGCCCCCTTTTTTGCCCCTAATTCCTAAAATTTGGAGGCAATTACCCCCAAAATCAATCCCAGCCTTCCCTTTGAGGTATGGTACCTTGCAGTACAATTTCAGAGAGATCCATACACTTGAACACAAGTACTTGTCTGGAAACTAGAAAAATGCTTATTTTTGGCCCCTTATTCCTAAACTTTTTGGGCAATTACCCCCAAACTCAATTCCAGCTTTCCCTTTGTGATATGGAACCTTGTAGTACAATTTCATAAAGATCCATTCACTTACACACAAGTTATTGTCATGAAACTAGAAAAATGCTTGTTTTTTGCCCCTTTTATGGCCCCTAATTCCTAAAATTTGGAGGCAATTACTCCTAAAAAAAATCCCAGCATTCCCTTTGTGATATGTAACCTTGTGGTACAATGTCAGAAAGATCCATACACTAACACACAAGTTATGTCTGGAAGTTACAAAAATGCTTATTTTTGGCCCCTTTTTGGCCCGTAATTCCTTAACTGTTGGTACCATAACCCCCAAAATCAATCCCAACCTTCCTTTTGTGGTATTGAACCTTATGGTAAAATTTCATAGAGATCCATTCACTGAAACTTAAATTAGAGTGTGAAAACCAATGTGTCTTTGGACGACGACAATGACGACGACACCTACGTCATACCAATAAAAATAGTCCAAAAGTTAACATTGTTTTAAATCATCATAGTTTTGTTGAGTAGAAACCTTCCTCCAACTTTGAGGATCCAGCAAAAAAAGAAGGAGTTATAACAGTTACAACAATGTGATGACAGACAGGTTGATGAACTAGTCTTAAACAATATACCTAAACAACTAGTGAACCATAGGAAGAAGTTGTTTCTCTTTTTAATTTAAACTGACATGGACAAGTGGTAAGACTTCAGAAATACTGTTGGAAATGCTGGCCATCTTTATATCTCTTTTGACAGATGAGAAAGGCAAAGTGACATACAAGAAGGTGACTTTTACTGCAGTCCCCCATTAGCTTGAGCCTTTTTGAATGAAAGTATTTTACAGCATAGAAGAATATATTCCTTAATTTTGGGGTTACTAAAATTAATCTAAAATAAAAAAAAAAAAATTGATATCATTTAAACATCTTTAACTGATATTCACATCATCAAGATTGACAATAAACAAACAAGAAATTTTGTTTTCTCATGTCTACCAATTGGAATAAATTTAAATCTTTCAATCCCAAAACATTCATGGATTAGGCATTTACACTGGATCCTGATAGAGTATAAATTATGTGACACAAAACTTAATCATATACACACAAATTAAAACAGGGAATGGCAAGGCTTTCATACAATGAAATTCCATAATAGAAGTGATGCTACTTTACAAATTATTCAGAAACATCTAATTTCCTATCTAAAAGCAACAAAGCTATGACTTTTTCCCAATTATCAAAATTGACATGACAAATATATCACATTGTATGACGTAATCACCAACAAACATCTTAAGCTGACAAATAATCAAATTAGCAACCATACCTTAATGTATCAATAATTCAATACCCATAGAATAAACATCTAGTCATAATGAAAAAAATATAGAATTGAATACAAATAAAATATTTGTCTCATAAACAACTGTCAGTTTATCAGTTATCTATTTGTCAAAACAGGACTAAAATTGTCAATAATCAATACACATTTCTGTATTAGGTAATTCTGTAAAACTTCACTAGAAACTGGAACACTTTTACATCATATTATAGGCTCTAGTCAATTTAGTTTATATCTACTATAAATCCAATCATTAATAGTGGCATGTTACACACACATTAGAAAATCTTCATTATAAATTTCTGCCTGTCAAAGAGAGACAAATTCTTCTTGAATACTTTTTTTCTGTACATTTGTCTCCCATTCAACTATTTAATCATTAGACACTTGTGTTAATTTTGACTTTATATATGTTTTGTGGTACCATTTTTTAAAAACAATACAACAACAAATGACAGCAAAATATTTATAATTCATAATTTTTTCAATTAACATCATGAAATGGTAAATTAGTATGAACAGAGACTGAATTTTATGTAATATATAATATAAAAGGAAGACTACTTTCTTATTTTCATGCGTCAATTTCTGATTTTTTTTATTATTTTGAGAATCAATCCGTGACTAGTTCAATCTTAACTGTTCAAATTTTTGTCAACAATCTGTTTAACCTTAACTGCTACTGAAAAGCAGCAGACATATATATATGCAAAATAAAAAATAAATGGGGAATGTGTACATGGGACACAAATGATGCCCCGGCTTGCACATCATATAAAGTTATAAAGGGACATAACTGAAGAACAGTAAAAGTGACGCTACCCAAATTTGTACTTGATTTGAGTTTTGTGGTAATAAGTATTGTATATAAGTTTCATAACATTTGGTTGAGGCAAACTTAAGTTGGAGAACGGAAACGAGGAAATCAGCAATTTTTCCATTTGTAAAGGGGCATAACTCTAGAACGGTAAAAGTGACACCACCAAAATTCAAACCTGATCTGTATTTTGTGGTAATAAGCATTGTGTATAAGTTTCATAATTTGGTTGAGGCAAACTTTAAGTTAGAGAAGGGAAACCAACTTTGGGACGTACGGACGGATGTAAGTACGTATGGATGGACAAGGGTAAAAGTATCAATGCCTAAAGTATTGTGAGATTTCATATATCAAATCAAATTCTCACATATGTCATATGAAATACAGATGGAATTTTATTTGGTTATCAAAATTTTGTCACCTGAGTTACCTTAGTCCATTTCCAAAATTTATGGCAGAATGACAATGTGCTAGCTTCATTAGACACATCTTTTTCTCTCCTTGCTAAACAATAGCATAATATGACACTTTTGTCATGATTAATTGGAAAATACTATCATTTAGTGGATATATTCACAAGTGATATAAACTGGTCTTTCTCCCATTAAATATCATATAAAAATCAACACACCAGTGACCTGCTTTTAACTGCAATTAAGAAGATTAAAAGACGGTGTCTATGTAACTAAACCTAACTTTTGGTAACCCTTCAAATGTTTAAAGGAATCAAGAAAAACTTTTCATTTTTATGTTAACATGTACTGCATCAATTGGTCTTTATTGATTCTGTAAAAAATAAATTCACACTGACTTACCGTGAGGTGGTTGTGGAGACGGACATCTTATTGGCAGAACTGGAGATGTATTCACAAGAGATTTTCTAACTCTGAAATATAATGACACAAATAACAAAATAATAAATTAAATTATGAGATTTAGTCATGAAACAATGACTCCTAGTGGCTGCAAATTCATTTCCTGAAAATCCATGTCTGCTCTACACAATCTATTTTTTTTTTCCAAAAAGGTAGACCACTACAAATAAAGTCCCACTGAGGCCTCTGGTGGTTGATGTAATCTGTTGCGTTGTCCAATATTTTTGGTAATGACTGTTATCTTTTTTTATGTATTATTGGTATGAGTTATATCAATGAAAACTGCACACCAAAGCAACTGCAAAACCAATGATTTGTATGGTTACAACATGTTAGTGTACTGTATATGGTTTTCCCATATCAACAGAAAACTTTATCATGTCAGTTTTTGGGGAAATTTAAACTTCATGTTTAAGTATTTTGTTTTGATTTAGGCAGTTTGATAACTGTAACTAAACATCAGTTCACTTCTGCAAAGAATTTGAAGAATCTCTATTGTTTCTGAATACATGTTTCAAGCACAAAATGGTTCCCATTAGAGAAGCATGAACTAGTGGAACAAGTCTTCAGATTGACAGCCAAATTTCCCCAAAATAATCGAATACCTGTAACAAGAGTGCACACACTGAAATGTCTCGCCTGTTTTACTGACCATTGATTTCATGTTGAAAGTCTTAAAGATAAAGGTTTTACTACAAGTATCACATAAACTTAACATTTTTAAAGATCCTTGACAATGAGGTCAACGTCAGATAAAAACTGTCACACAGACATGTACACCTAACAATTATTCCATACACCAAATCAAGTTGGCCCATTGCTTATGGTAATTGAAAAACAGACCAAAACACATAAACTTAATGTTAACCAATGAACCATGGAAATTAGGTCAAGGTCAGATGATACTGGCTAGACAGACATGTACACCTTACAATCATTCCATACTCCCAATCATAGTTGACCTATTGCTTTTAGTATTTGAAAAATAGACCAAAACATAGTCAAACGGTTGTCCCCATAAATACAAAAATACATCTACAAGAACATATGTTCAAACTTCACAAACCCACTGTTGTTTTTCAACTGTTTCAATTAATGTATTTCATTAGAGAACATACAAAGGATTTTTAGAATGACAGACGAGGAATCTGTTTTATCTGCTCAAAAATTGATCTGGGTCACAAATTGCTTTAAAAAATGGCTGACTTCGAACCCAACCAATATGGAGGATATTAACCATTGACATATATTTCATTAAACTTTATTAAGAAATGTAAGCTCTAGAGTGATAACAATGCCAGGTTACAATATTTGTGAAAAATCAATATAGAATGTTTACAATGTAGTTGCAATTACATGAAGGGGAAAAAGATTTTTTCTTAAATATCTAACAAGATTTAGATCAGCAGGAAGAGTGCTGTAACTTTGATATACAGCTACAATGTATTTAAAAAAATTTCTAATAAGTTCCAAATTCTGGAAAGATGAGAAACAATTCCATATAAGCAGGTCCACAACTTCAACATATGTGCAATCTTTCTGTGAAGGTTCAGGGATCTGGGTTGAAAACTGTAGGAGAAGTTGATTACACAAATTAGGTATCCATTTCCTCCCCCACCCCTGCTATCCCATCATGACCATACTATAAGCCAGTGTTAAGACTTTGTCCAACCTGGCCAAAAATAAGATATGCTGGGAACCACACATTTGATAATACATAAAGGCTCTAAAGAGCCTGTGTCGCTCACCTTGGTCTATATGCATATTCAACAACGGACACTCTCCAATATTGTAGACGAGAATAGAATTCATGACAGAAATCTCTTTTTAGCTGATCTTGTATAGCTGATCGTTTTGTCTGTTTAGTTTCTCTCTATCTTCTTTAGTTTTTGCTCAAAAGACAAAAGAAGGAAAAAAAAAATCCTCATTTAGGGGCAATCACTCTTATGAAGAGTGACAGTCTACAAACTATATCGGCAAAATTTGACTTGTTTGTAAATCTTGCCTTCCTGATCCTTTTTGCTATTTAAAGTTTCTATTTGTCTATTATAATTTCTATTATATAAGACAAAAAGCAAAAACATTGGTAAAAATTGTCATTAAAGGGCAATAACTCCAATAAGGAGTCATCAGAGAATTTCCTTCATGTCGTCTTATTAGTAGATCTTGTCTTGCTGATCATTTTTGCTTATTGAAGTTTCTATCTATCTATCATAATTTTTATGATATAAGGCAATAAACTGCTTCGCTGAGCGCAGCTGGATACGCCCGCAGAGGTCTAACCCTGAACAGTTGGGGCAAAAATGGACACAATATTCAAGCTTGATACAGGTCTGAATTTGGATTGTAATTAAATATTTGACATACATCTATTATAGGTTTCTGAATAAATGTAGTCAAAGAACTTGAAGTTGGTTATATGAATTGAATTTATATTCAATTAAAGATTTCTTGCTGTTGTGCAATACACTGTGCTGTTGCCCAATACTTAGTAAATCTGTTGTCAGACTAAAAACAAAAAAAATTATAAAATTCTAAAGGGAGCTTACATCAATAGATATAAACAGTTCACCAAAGTTTCATACTAATTGCTGAAAGCATTTTTGAGTTTTTGTCTGAAAACTGGAAAATCCCCCCTTTTTTAATGAATAAACCCCATAATTCGGAAATGTAAAATCTAAAATTTATAAATTTCTAAAGGGAGCTTACATCAATAGATATCAACAATTCATCAAAGTTTCATGAGAACTGCTGAAAGCATTTTTGAGTTATTGTCCGAAAACTGGAAAATCCCCCTTTTTTTCATGAATAAAACCCCATAACTCGGAAACGTAAAATCTAAAATTTATAAAAATCCTAAGGGAGCTCATGTCAATAGATATAAACAATTAACCAAAATTTCTTACAAGTTGGTGAAAGCATTCTTGAGTTATAGTCCGAAAACTGGAAAATCCCCCTTTTTTTAATGAATAAAACCCCATAACTCGGAAACGTAATATCTAAAATTTATAAAAAACGAAAGGGAGCTCATGTCAATAGATATAAACAATTAACCAAAATTTCTTGCAAGTTGGTGAAAGCATTCTTGAGTTATTGTCCGAAAACTGGAAAATCCCCCTTTTTTTAATGAATAAAACCCCATAACTCGGAAACGTAATATCTAAAATTTATAAAAAACGAAAGGGAGCTCACGTCAATAGATATAAACAATTCACCAAAGTTTTAAGCAAATTGGTTTAAGCATTTTTGAGTTAATGTCCGACATGTTGACGACGGACGGACGGACAGACGGACGGACAGACGGACAGACGGACGTACAACGGTATACCATAATACGTCCCGTAAACGGGCATATAAAAACGAAAAAAATTGGTAAAAATCGTCAGCAAAAGGCAATAACCCTTATAAGGAGTAGACTGACGTTTTCAACCATGCAGACTTATTTGAAGAACTTGTCTTGCTGATCATTTTTGCATTTTAAAGTTTCTCTCTATTTATTAAAGTTTTCATATTTTATAGTTTTGATAATCGGCATACATCAAATAAAATGCTGGGCGCAGCTTCATACGACCGCAGAGGTCGAACCCTGAACAGTTGGGGCAAGTATGGACACAACTTTCAAGCTTGATACAGCACTGAATTTGGATTGTGATTAAATATTTGACACAGCATAGGTTTCTGACACAGAATGAATGTGGTCTAAGAACTTAAAATTTTTTAATTTACCTATTCAAACCATATCATTATTATTTGCTTTTATATATAAATCAGAAATAACCAATTTAAAATGGAAAATTTTAAAGAAAAAAAAATCCCTCCCCCAAATTTTTTGAACCCCCTTATGATTCATCACCCCCAAACTCAATCCCAGCCTTCCCTTTGTGGTATGGTACCTTGCAGTACAATTTCAGAGAGATCCATACACTTGAACACAAGTTATTGTCTGGAAACTAGAAAAATGCTTGTTTTTAGGCCCCTTTTTGGCCCCAAATTCCTAAACGTTTAGGGCAATTACCCCCAAACTCAAACCAAGCTTTCCCTTTGTGATATGGAACCTTGTAGTACAATTTCATAAAGATCCATACACTTACACACAAGTTATTGTCCTGAAACTAGAAAAATGCTTGTTTTTGCCCCTTTTTGGCCCCGACTTCCTAAAATTTGGAGGCAATTACCCCCAAAATCAATCCCAGCCTTCCCTTTGAGGTATGGTACCTTGCAGTACAATTTCAGAGAGATCCATACACTTGAACACAAGTTATTGTCTGGAAACTAGAAAAATGCTTATTTTTGGCCTCTTTTTGGCCCTATTCCTATACGTTTTGGGCAATTACCCCAAAACTCAATTCCAGCTTTCCCTTTGTGATATGGAACCTTGTAGTACAATTTCAGAAAAGATCCATATACTTACACACAAGTTATTGTCATGAAACTAGAAAAATGCTTGTTTTTTTGCCCCTTTTTTTGCCCCTAATTCCTAAAATTTGGAGGCAATTACCCCCAAAATCAATCCCAGCATTCCCTTTGTGATATGGAACCTTGTGGTACAATGTCAGAGAGATCAATACACTAACACACAAGTTATGTCTGGAAGTTACAAAAATGCTTATTTTTGGCCCCTCATTCCTTAACTGTTGGTACCATAACCCCCAAAATCAATCCCAACCTTCCTTTTGTGGTATTGAACCTTATGGTAAAATTTCAAAGAGATCCATTCACTTAAACTAAAGTTAGAGTGCAAAAACCAATGTGTCTTCGGACGACGACGACATACTAATATACAACCGCAGTCGTATAAAAAGTGGTAAAATTTGTCATTTAAGGGCAATAACTTAACATTCTGAATTTTTGTGCCCCTGTCAGATTTTCTCTATTTATAACGGTTTTCAAAATAATGGAAAAAACTTGCATTTTACTCCTATGTTCTATTTTTAGCCATGTCGGCCATCTTGGTTGGCAGGTTGGGTCATCCGGCAGGGCTTCCAAAACGGTTGTATTTTCCGGACAAGTTTGATAAGATTATATAATAGACTTGTTGTGCCGAGGCTGAAACGGACATTTAAATATAGTTCAGTAAAAAAATTGAAGTTTATGCGATCTTTTTGACCTGACCCTTGGCCTTAAACAGCCACACAGTTCCGGTCATATAAGTGACATGATTAATAATAACTATCAAAACAAACCCTATTATAATACCCTCTCATTACAATCGTACAGAAGGACAAGGATAAAACTTAATGCCCCCTCCGCTACGGCAGGGGCATAAAAATACTGCACAGCACAACAGACCACATCAACCATAAACATCTGACTTCTCTCATAAAACAAATATACAAACAAAAACAAACAACAATACATGAACCAGATAGTCTGGCTTGGTACAGGCACAAAATGTAGTGAGGTAAAACCAGTTTAAGTGCACACAAAACCCTCCTCTTTTTTTTGTTTATTTAGTCCATGTTGTAAAACTAAACAAATATCAAATTTCTTAGCATTAAATGGTAAGAGATTGCTTTAATTTTGCAATGTGATTTAAAATTAAATATCAAATAGTATTTAGTTAAGAAACAGGTACATCTAGGCAAGTTATATATTTTTAATTTAAGTTATCTTCCTTTGTTCATGATTGTGCTTTTTTTCATTAAAACAGATATTTTGATGCACCATGCATCATAAAATTGAATTAAAACCGACAGTATTTGTGAAAGGCCAGAATTAAGAACTAAAATCGTCAGACGATCAATAAAGAAACATGTTCACTACATTAGTGAATCTATCATGCCTGAGGCCCTTACTGTTGATAAATGTCATAAATTTTTAATAAGTCATTTTCAATGTTAATTTTTTTAATGATTTTATAGTTCTGGTTCTGCCTGGAATAAAATGTACATGATTTATATTAGATGAAGAAATATATGAAGGTGTATAACTATATGAACATTTAATATTTCATTTCAATGAAGAAAAAAAAAAAGTTTTTATAAAATCATAGTGTATTGTTTTGTGTGTATAAATGTCATGTTGCCCATCAAGGGCCCTTAATTGAAACAATAAATATTCTTCTTCTAAACCTTATTCTTAATTCTATTAACAACAATTCAATAAAAGGTAGGGTGAGAAATACAGTATTTTTTTACACACAACATTATATTTACAGATACAATGCTCATACCGATTGTAAAATGTTTTAATAACTTTCACAATTGTGGAATCTGAAACCCTGTAAAAGTAATTTTTGTGTTAATAAAAGGTTACGTTTATTAAAGTCAGCTTCATTAGAACATATTCTAACAACTTGTACAAGTTGTGAAACGTACAAACCATAGTATGTGGCAAGAGGAACATAACTATCGAAAAAAGAAATTTTGTGGTGGATAAGTTGAAATTTGATCTTTAGTCAAATACTAGAGTTCCAATTATTCTTTTTTTATTTTAAATCAATAAAGTTTAGTCTAAAAATGGACAATTTTGACCAATAATATTAGCTTTATTAAGGATGTTTGCTAATTTTGTTGTTTCTTTGACTTTGTGTCAGATATTAGGAATCCTCTTGTTTTATCCATGTAGTGCCATGTAAATGTTTGCCCTCTAACCCCTACTTTTCTTTTCATAATTTTATTACATATAGTTTTAAAAAGTCATTTTTGAAAATCTTTCATATTTTTTCAAAGTTTTTGAAAGTTAAATGGAGAATGTTTCCCAGCTTGCAGATAACCTTATAAAGGGACATAATTCAACAACGGTAAGTGACACCACTTTTTTTTTGGTGTTAATATAATATAAGTGCTGACCCTGACAGGTCATAATGATAAAACAGGTATTGTATCCTTCTTTAATACAAAAACTGCATATAATTATTGCATGAGATGAAGAAATACAAAATAAAGAATCATAAAACAAAGTGATGCTACCAAAATTGTAACTTGATCTGAGTTTTGTGGTAATAAGCATTTTCATAACATTTGATTAATTCAAACTTAAGTTAGAGAACAGAAATGCAAAATTCAGCAATTTTCCATTTGTAAAGGGCCATAACTCTAGAACGGTAAAAGTGACACCACCAAAATTCAAACTTGATGTTCAGTAGTTGTCATTTGTTGATGTGGTTCATAAGTGTTTCGCGTTTCTCGTTTTTTATATAGATTAGACCGTTGGTTTTCCCGTTTGAATGGTTTTACACTAGTCATTTATGGGGCTCTTTATAGCTTGCTGTTTGGTGTGAGCCAAGACTGTGTTGAAGACCGTACTTTGACCTATAATGGTTTACTTTTACAAATTGAGACTTGGATGGAGTGTTGTCTCATTGGCACTCATACCACATCTTCTTATATCTATTGATCTGTGTTTTGTGGTAATAAGCATTGAGTATAAGTTTCATAATATTTGGTAAAGGCAAACTAAAGTTAGAGAACAGAAACCAATTTTGGACGTGTGTACAGACGTCAGACGTAGACGGACAGACAGACAAGGTAACACTTTATGCCCCCTCCTCTGCAGCTGGGGCATAAAAAAATGTGCCGATGTTAAATGTATGAGAAATCTAGAGAGAATCATTTCCTGTCAACTCTTCAATGGCTTATATCTAGAAAACAAGGAAGAAGACACTTCATTTTTTCTGTTTTTATAGTTGCGTTATTTAGATACTATCAATTTATAACAGTCTTGTAAAAAGCTTGTTATTTTAATACAGAGAAGCAAACATCCTTAAGCTTAATTTCTTTTGATAAACACATTTAGTTTGTCTAATTAAATCAGAATTCAAACTTAAATAATAAATTGCAGGATAAAAACAATATATGTACAATGTCAAAATTGTTTAAATTTTTTGTATTCACTACGAAACAAAAGAGAATTTATGTACATGTAAATAAAGTATACAAGTGTAATTAATCTATTCTTTTTTTAACAGTTCTCAGTGCAATAGTCACATATGACACTCAAAATAATTTTGAACAGCATAAAATGTTACTTCTGTGGATTCATTTATTTTCGTTGGTACCAATTTTCTGGATTGAGGAAAAAAGGAATTTTCATAAGTTTGTGGTTTTGTTAAAGTCTGCAGACAATCCTAAAGATAATCGGCACTTCGTTGAACATCAAAATGCATGGTTTATCTTTACCCGTTGAACATCTAAAGTCATGGTTTATCTTTACCCGTTGAACATCTAAAGTCATGGTTTATCTTTACCCGTTGAACATCTAGTCATGGTTTATCTTTACCCGTTGAACATCTAAAGTCATGGTTTATCTTTACCCGTTGAACATCAAAAGTCATTGTTTATCTTTACCCGTTGAACATCTAAAGTCATGGTTTATCATTATCCGTTGAACATCTAAAGTCATGGTTTATCTTTACCCATGAAATCCACAAAAATTGGTACCCCACAAATATTTATGAGTCCACAGTATCTTATACTCATATATCAACAAGAATGCAAAATGAAAAGTCCAAACACAAGACTCCTACACATGAGTCAACCATGTGAGCACCATACTAACATTAATACTTACTTCCCTCTCTTGGTTAACATGTTGTACTCTTTCTGTAAAACAAAAGGAAACTTGTTAGAAGACTAAATATACTAACGTAAATATTGATCAAAAACAATCATGAAGATCAATCCTTAAAACAAAAGTAAGAATAAATACTGAATTATTCTACAAAAGAGAATGTAGACATTATGGATTAATGAACATTTTTCTTGGCAGTAAATCAAAAATTTTCTAAGCTTTATTTTTCACCTTTTAAATAAAGGATTTTAACAGCAACAAAAAGTAAAATACTGTACAAAGAATTGACAACAATTGAACCATCTAAGCTAGTATGATTTTGAAGTTATCTCTCTTTACACGAACATAACAAGTATAAAGATTTAAAAATAGTTTATGTGATTTGCTATCACTAGTATGAAGTTCTATCTATTGTTTTGTTATCACCATCCACACAAAAAATTAATGTTTCTAGACCCCCATATAAACACTATAACATACTATTCCAGCTGTTAATGAAGGAGCAGATTGACCAAGCACTGTATTCTTCATTTTCATCAGGTTTGTTGGTTCTAGCAGGGCATTCAAGTCTACAAACAAATATTTATATCAATTCATATACTATACAACACATGAACACATAATTAATTAAGTTTCTGTTTGGCTATATGCATTTCACCCAATACTGACCAGTGTGATAAATTTGATAACTACATGTTGATTAAACTTGTTATGTTTTTCCCTGTAATCATAAACTAAAATTTTCTATGCATTTCATCCGATTCTGACCTGTTTGGTAATTTTTGATAAACTACCTGTTGATTAAATTTGTTTGTTCCTGCAATAATAAGCTATTGTTTTCATACTTTGTATGCATTTCACCTTGTTCTTATCAGTTTGGTAAATATAGATTCCTCCACTGAATTAAGTGATGCAATATTTCTCCACTCAAGACAGTTAAATTATCAAATTCAAGATGACGGTTATTTCAGTACATCCTTTGCACATGTAACATTAAAAATCTATTCAATGACATACATGGGAAATCAGGAAAATTTGAAGAGAATACCTAAGTAATGATTTCTGTTATTATTAACCTACATAAGATCTAGCCTAGACTAGCTTTAAATCAGATGAAATAGACATTGGCTTATCAAAATCTAGAATTGCTTGTCAGTCATATTCAACAACAAACAATCAAGCAACGAAGAACCTTTCATACATTTTTCTTAATATGATATGTTCCAAGGTGATCTCATGCCACAATGGACCTTCCATAATATGATATGTTCCAAGGTGATCTCATGCCACAATGGACCTTCCATAATATGATTTGTTCCAAGGTGATCTCATGCCACAATGGACCTTCCATACATGTTTTTACGTAGTTGATTTATAACAAACATTTCTAAAATGCCCTGTTGATAAATTAAGTAAATTATTTAGAAATAAATGGGGAATGTGTCCATGGGACACAGATGATGCCCCCGCTTGCATACAACGTTATAAAGGGACATAACTCAAGAACTGTAAAAGTGACGCTACCCACATTTGTACTAGAACTATGGTTCCAACTCCCAGGCAAAGTTGACCATAGATGAATTTGGCTAATCATTGTAGGTCTCTCTTGGTCATATAGCTTCTAACTTACATACATATTTCAACATCCCTAACCTCGCTTTCATATGTTCAGGTTTGAGCATTCCTGATGAACGCAAATCAAGAAAAGTGCTTTAGAGGCATGAGATTTATAAACGGTTATTTTCATTGAAGAAGAAAAACTGGATGTCAGATCAAGTCTGAACAGAAAATATTATTCAACTAATAAATAAGCCTTTATCAACTAATTATTACTTGTGGCACAAATATTTGATTCAGTTTTTTGGGGCATTTAGACATATCAAGATATCATGTCTTCAAAGAATATAGATAATTGGCTGGTTTTCAAGAAGGTAATGCCAAAACCAAGAAAAAATAATCTTAAAATTGAGATATTTTTTTTTTTATAATGAAATAAGTATCAAAATTTGTCATGTTAAACATACCCCACTCATTATTCAAAGTATATGTAAATAGGAAGTAGGTTTCAGACTGATTTGGAAGTATGCACATGTTACAATCCATCAGTGCCAAGCTGCTGACCAAATATGAAGTTATTTTGTTCAGTATTTTTTAAAAGTTGGTCAGCATAATGAAAAATAAATGGAGAATGTGTCCATGGGACACAGATGATGGCCCCACTTGCATATAACATTATACACGGACATAAATCAAGAACGGTAAAAGTGACGCCACCCAAATTCGAATTTAATCTGAGTTTTGTGGTAATAAGCATTGTGTATAAGTTTCATAATATTTGGTTGAGGCAAACTAAAGTTTGAGAACGGAAACAATGGATTTTTCCATTTGTAAAGTGGCATAACTCTAGGATGGTAAAAGTGACGTCACCCAAATTCAAACTTGATCTGTTTTGTGGTAATAAGCTTAAGCAATGTGCATAAGTTTCATAACACTTGGTTGAGGCAAACTAAAGCTAAAGAACTGAAACTAATTTTGGGATGTACGGACAGACTTACAGACGGGCAAGTGTAACATTTAATGCCCCTTCCGCTGCGGCTGGGGCTTAATTAAAAGTATAGATAAATAGAAAGTAGGTTCCTGACAGATCCAAAATGTGCTCACACAACTCACCAGTGCAAGCTGTTGACCAAATATGAAGTTTAGTAGTACATGAACCTGAGAAAAATGTGACAGAAATATTTGTCAGAGGAATTGACCGAGGTATGATTAGGTTAATGCAATAAAGCGCCCTCCTACAGCGGAGGTAAATTATAATATCAAATGAATTCACATAAGTAAAAAGCAATTACTTTCACAGAGTTTTTATTACACAAAATTTCAAGGGCCCAACCTTTGGTTGTAATGTTTTAATTCCTGCGTTTTTCTTGTCCCTGATCATGATCTCATTATCTATTTTAATATTAAAGATCAAATTAAAGTGAAGGGATATATTTCCAAAATCAAATCAATACACCATTCTGGAAAGTTTCTCACAATAAGAACACGCTTTTCATGATAGTCTTTACTTGTGTTATAACCTTTGACCCTGTAATAGGAAAATTTATATTTTCTACGATTTCTTTTAAAAAAAATACCATTATGTCTACCAGTTTTAGATTTGCAATCAAGTTGAACAAGGATCCTGAGAAACACATCAACCAAACTGATAACTCTTTTAGTGAAAATTAAATGATAACAGATTTGAAAACATGAAGTCTTCCAAGTCTTGTTCATCGACAAGATATGTGACTGCATTGTTAGACAACATATAAGGCTAATTTTTTACTTATTCTTCTACCAAGGGAGTAAGTTTAACAGCCAGTTAAATTATTGATAATGTCATTACTTGAACTGATGGTTCTATAGACATCAGAATAGATAGAAGCACTTGTCTAATCAGGTCAGTATTGATCTGACCACGAATGTGTCTTGGGAAATAATGAATCAAATCACTGTGTTAAGTGCTTGTTATTCTCCATTGCAAAACACAATTTGTTTAAAAGAGATCTCTTTACACTACACTATACTGTAAGAAACTGTTCTGCTTTTGATTCAAGTTTTCAGTCAGTAATAATTTAGACCTGCTCACATGGTACAGACAAAATCTTTCATAGAACAACACAGAGAGAAGTATGTGAGGATTCCTTAAAATCCAAAAAAATGAAAATGCATTTAGAAATCATGAAAATTACTAGCAGGCCAAAATAAAATATGACAGCAAAGAGAAGAGAGATACTAATAGACATGATAGATGACACTAGATTATCAACCTTAAAAATCCATCATCTTTCATTCACCCTTTCTAACTGTTGAACATATAAGAATACAGGTCATATTGTTTCATTATGCATAAGACAAAATATAAAGCAGGTTTCCCCAAAATACAGAATAACATATTCTCCTTTAAACAACCTACATTATAAACTGTCAAGGTTAACTAATCACCATACTGCTTCTCACCTTTAACTCATGTGAAGCAGAGGATTAATAATTGAAGCTTTTAATACAGAAATATTAATAACTGTTTAATAATTGCAGTCATAAATCAGGTTTTACTACTGTTGATACCCACATAGGAATATATAGCCTTAGACTAAGAGTGAAAGCTAGGCATGTGACTAGAATAAACTGTGTCAACATATCTTTATTATATACCAGGCTGGTTATCATAAAAGCGATATGCTTAGCACTTTAGCAGTGAATGGGTATCTCATAATATTACATGTTTAGGCAGCATAATATTGATGGTACAGTGTGACCAAAATATTAGCAAAACTGGATCAAATCAAAAACTTGTTAAACAGAAATAATCACTGTATAAAAATCTTGTTTTACGTCTTGTTGACTTATATAAAACTTTCAAACAGCCAAAAGTTTAGAACAATGGTCACTGATTAATTTTAAAACAATTTAGCCTCACCAATCAGCTGGCAAAACCAGCTAGGTACTAAAAAATGTAATACATAGTGCAGATACTGGTTCCCAGATACCTGCTTCAGATCATACACTTTCTGCACCATCTGCATTTCTGGTTCCTACGGATACCTTATTAAAGCAGTGTATGAAATTGCTTAGAAATTCTTATCATGTTCTATGGCAAGATTCCAGTTTTAAAACAGTGCACATTTATTTTTGATCAAGATTGATAAAAGAACAGAGTTCCAATGTCCCCCACATGGCACATATTTTATCTATCCAAGGTACAAGGGCAATAACTAAAAAAAGCACTTTTTTTTGTTCTTTAAAACTTTTTATTAATATCTTAAGAGAAATGAAGGCTTCAGAGCAAATGCAATGTGATTTCCATTATAATTTACATTTCCAAAGGGCATAACTCGTTAAAAATATTTGATCAGAACTTATTTTTGAAAGAGTCAAAAACATTGCTGATATAAACCTATGATATAAGTTTCATAAAATTCTGGCAAGAATTGAATACATGAGAGCGATAACATTGCAATTTTTCATATAAATCAATATTTTCAAGGGCATAACTCTTTTAAAAATAATTGATCGGCACTGATTTTTTAACTCTTCAAGTATATTAATGATATAAACCTATAACACAATTTCATAAAAATCTGGCAAGAATTAATGTACACATTAAAGCACTCATAAGGCAATTTTCCATAATTAATATTTCCAAGGTGCATAACTCTTTTAAAAATTATTGATTGGCACTGATTTTCAAATTCGTCCAAGACATTGCTAATATAAACCTATGATTTAAGTTTCATAAAAATCTGGCAAGAATTGAACACATGAGAGCCCTAATGATGCAATTTACCATAAAATTAGTGTTTCCAAAGGGTATAACTCTTTTAAAAGTAATTGATCGGCACTGATTTTCGAACTCGTCCAAAACATTGCTAATATAAACCTATGATATAAGTTTCATAAAAATCTGTCAAGATTTGTACAAATGAGAGCGCTAACGATGCAATTTTCAATATAATTAATGTTTCCAAGGGGCATAACTCTTTTAAAAATAATTGATTGGCACTGATTTTCGAAATTTTCCAAGACATTGCTGATATAAACCTATGATATAAGTTTCATAAAAATCTGGCTTACAAGACCGGATGGACGGACGAACAGACAGACGCCTCATATTTCCATGTCCCCCACAACGTGTTACATGGGGGACAAAAATAAGTATGCTCGATTGCAGTTTCCAACTCTGGATTCTGAAGATACCAGACTGACAACATACTTAAAATACAATGACTAATCAGCACTAACTACGGCATATCTACTACTGGATCCAGTTGATACCAGATGGACAGGAGTACACATGTATACCAATACTTACTATGTCCTATTGTACTACTACTACTACTGGATCCTGCAGAAACCAGATTGTTTGGAACACTTATTGGAGAACTTGGCAAAGTTAGACTTTCTCTTCTACGCTGCCGTACATCTTCTGACAGCGTCCTTTGCAGTCGTCTTATACCCCCAGGATTACAGAAGGGAATGTCCTCCTGTGATCGTCTATAGCTAGCACTAGGAGATAATGGCGGTCCGGGTGAATGGGGTGCTCCTCCATCAGACTGAAAATAAGGATGAGGATTTTAATATAAAGAAATTCTTAATAATTATTTTCTTGCCAAAAGACAATAAATAAATGAGGTTTCTGTTCTTGATCACACTTGTAACTACTATGTTTTATTTCATCATTTTACTACAGGAATGTAATTTAAGTAATAAATGAATGTCTAGAGGCAAACAAGTTTATATCACTATAAAATACTTAAATCAGTACATGCTTCAACATGATGTACTATTTTACTTTTTTATTTATACATATATATTTAAAACTGTTTACTAATTGCTTTTAATTTAATTGACAATGGTATTTATATACATTGTACAAATACAAAGTCTGATGCATAACTGACAAACTAAAATATTATGCATGACACACAGTACAGCTTTGTTCTGTATCTGAAGAAAAAAAATACTTCAAATCTCATGAAACATGTTGACCTGATTAGGCTGAATAATCTATTTTTATATTCCACTCACTATGATCACTCAACTTGAAAAGCAGAGTGAATCAAATAAAAAACTGCTTGTTTTTCTTAAAAAAAACAACAGGGGATCATTTTGTAAGATATGCTTGATAAAATCAAAGTACCATAAAATGGTTCAATGACTCGAGCTCTTGTTTATTTTGTTGTTATTCTCAGTTTGATAGTTTGGCACTATTTTATTAGACCTACCAGTCAAAATACATTTCTATTATGTCCAGTGCAACTAGTCAATTGTAATTCTTGTTGATTCAGGTAGTCAACAGACTATTTAACTATAAATCTAATTGCAACATTTTTTCAAAAAGAAGAAAAATCTTTGCAATTGACTTGTGTAAAATTTGCACATTAAAATGTATCAGGTACGCAATCAACTGTATTGTCATTTCTTTCTGTTTGATGAATATTTTTAAACAGACAAATTAGCCCTGCATTGTTATTTCAAAGCTTTACTTAAAACATATTCCCAGAAAAATTATCTGAAACACCCCTCCGCTTTTATATGTAATTATAATTGTATGCATATATGTACATGTACTTGTAAGGGTTTGTACAGGAAGACATTTTCTATTTTCGAATGACATTTTCTATTGATTTTGGTTTTTAACAATCACACTATGACTATTTATCAATACTGTCAATACTAAACACGCATGAAGGAATATTTCTACATGGAAAATCAACACCAAATCAATGTCTGAATTGAAAAACCCAATTCAATCTTCAAACAGCCATTCAACCCAGATCAACAAGTTTCAATATCCAGACAGACTTGTGTTTGTCCTGTTTAAAAAACAATTACCTAGGTGATATATGCATGTATAAAATCTATTGAGGATTTTAGAGTTCCTGCTTACGTCAAAGCTTTCAAACAGGTTTACTTAAGTTAAACAAACATTCCTAGCTTCAATGCAGCCAATAATTTAATTAATTCTGTAGATAAAATGAGGTTCTAAACACATACTTTAGTACATGTAAACCAAATAGAGGTCTTGAAAAATGTAAGAAAAAAGAAACTTTTTTTATTATCCCTTCAAAATATATATCTATTATGAGATAACATATTAAGGCATTCCTTTAGTTTAGATATAAATAATAATTTTCAAACACAAAAAATCTGAAAAGCTCTTCCAAACAATTAGAGCTACAAAAAGTTTAGTATGGAATAATTAAGACAAATATGATCCTTGCGTTAGTCTTACTACACTCCTTCTTAGTTCTTGCTAGATTCTGTCAAATTATCCTTTAAAAATACTGGTGACATATGTTCTCGATTTGCCACTTCATGAAGTTAATAAGATACGATTGACATTCAAGTATAAATGCAGTTCTAGCATAGAACTTATCAACATGCATGTCTGACTGAGAATAGCATGATCTGACAAAATATGTTATTTCAAAATATAAATCTGAAAAAATTTTAATTCCATACATCTCGATGGAAACTAAATTCAGACAGACACTTAAGATTAACAGAAAGCTGCAATTAAATATGAAAGCAGTAAAATATCTGTATAAATCCCATATAGAGGTTGCCTTCAAATTATAAAGTTCCAAAATAACTCTACTAACATGACTAAAAGAATGGAACTGTAATTCACTTTCAAATTATAAAGGTAAATAGTACTTATATCGTATAATCAATGGGACAAAATGCATTAGCTATAGACAAGAAGACTAGTATCTATTCACTGTCTATAATTTATTTCTACGTTTGTCCACATCTAAATGGTAAAAAAATGTTCAGAGTCTGGCTCTCTCAATGTGTGGACATTACTGCAAGCAAGAATTCCATCAATTACCATTGAGTATCTTGCAAGTCTATTGACAGTCATTTTCTTTGCATGCTAATCCTTTTTATATTCAGTAGTTATAGGTTTTCTATTAAAACTTTTGTAATGAATACCTTAAATCAATACACTAACTGAAGCATCCATAATTGGTTTTTATTCCTCAGATACTGTATGTAGCAATCTTTGGCTTATTTAACTACCATGTTTTGTCTGTGACATTCAAACCTGAGGCTGAGTGTCAACAAACCTAAACAATCAACATTGTTGTATATTAAACAATACTTATAATCAATGTCTTCAGTTAAATTGGTTCTAGGTACATGTAATACTCAACAGGTAGAACAAGACAGGAGATCCTGATGTTTACCATTTCAATAAGGGATGCCAAGTAATTACATAAGATTTAATCCTAAGTAAGTCTTATGAGTTTCATACAGAACAGTCCAACAATGATATTTTAGGACAATAAAATTATGTCAAAACTTACCATTTTAAGACCAATTGCAAGAATACAGGAACGTTAAGTCAAGAATAATCGGTGGCTTTTTATGGGAAATACTCTAGTAGGTAATAAGAATCAGTCTGGATTATGAAAAAGTCTTTTGGTAATATATCGAATTGGCAAAAGGTCTGGAAAATAGATTCAGTATGCAAAGAACTTTCTAGATTTTACTTTTTGTTACTATCAAAGCCAGATAAAGACTAGTATTTTCATGATTAACATGAATCATTAATTCATGATTTGCCTCTTACCTAATTATATAAAAATCCACTAAATTATAAATTATAAATAGTACATGTGAGATATGTTATTATTAACAAAAGAATTTTAAGGCTCAGTATAATTATAAATAAAAATGCACAAATACTTTCTTACTACATGTGCTACGTGATAAGAAACACAGGTCATGCCTCAAAGAAATTTGTGAGGAGTGTAACACAGAGTAATAAGTCAAACAAAGTACACTATTCTGTATGTCAAAATGACAAGTATTTCACCAACAAACACACCCACAGACAACAACTTTATATTGCAACAATAACAAGACAACACAGTATCAAGGACATCAAATTGAAAGGATTTATATCAGGAATCTTCTACCGAAAACTTGATCAAACTGATCATAATCTATATATTGAATAATTGATACATTGTTTATCATACCAATTTTATACCCTTTGACCCTTGTTTCTAGAATGATATTCATCAGCTACTCTAAGTCAATTCAGAGATGTCAAATTCATGAAATATTTAGGGGCAAAAACAAAACAAAAGGATCAAAACAGAAAACTCAAAAGTCGAAACATGCATGCTTTCCACAACAGAATAAATTCACAAACAATATTTCATTCAAATTTGCTCAGCAATTGCAGAGAATATAGTTTTAAAATGTGATAGTTGTGCTTTACATCTATATGACATATTCTTAACATTGGTATTAAATGCTGGCTGGCTTACAGGTACTAAATTGTCTTCTAGTTTAAGATAATTCAATTTTTTAAAGATAACAGACATCAACTGACTATAGGGTCAATAACTAATAACTGGCTGTTTGTTAAAGGTCATGATGAGCTTAACAACTACTTTAAGGACATTCAAATAACAGTTTTTCTTAAAGGGATAGTAGCTACGATTTTGACAAAATTATGACCAAGTTTTAAAGCTGCTAAAATCAAAGATATGTAATTTAAATTAACAATAAGATCGGTGGAATGTTTATATAAAGTACAGAAGTGTTAATAATTGATAATTAATATCGTGTAGCGTGCCTTTTCATCTCATTAATTATGCATCGGGTTTATTTCCCGAACTTTGCCGACACAGCGAGTGAGATGACCAAGATATAAATAAATATGAACATGTACTTTTGTTTACTTACGTATTTGACAATTTCTTTAGATTAAACGTACATATTTGAAACCATTTATCAAATTATGTAAACAACAAAATATACCAAATGCCTGCATATTATTCGAACCCAAGGTTCTCCAACAATGGCGATATTATACACTTGTTTTATATTTGTATGACAAAACAATGCCGATAACGTATACACGTGTTTGTGAATTGAATTGGGGCCTTCATGCAGGGTACACCGGAAGAATAATATTAAATTGTAAGAAGTTGATTTTGAATGTCTTCTAAGTTGTGAGATCACAGCTCTTAAATTTATAAAGATATTTTGGACAATAATGATTTGAACATGTCGCGATTTATTTTCATGTGATCTGGATTCGAAAAGTTCAGTAATGTTTTTTACATTTCGCAAACCGTCGTAATGTCGACTGCTTATATAATGACTTTATCTGCGTGTCGGATGTTTCTAAATGATTCTAATGACCGATCTCATCGCCGTTATTTATTTTCAATTTACAATAACTTGTCTGCACCCCTTTAATGTTTCTTTTTCTCACAGAAACTGTAAACACACGTTCCATTTCCGCGATAACATTCCTCTGTTCGACATTTTCCCTTCGAGGGACAACTTGCGATTGCGCATTGGGAACTGCGGAGTTAAGGTCAACATAGGTCATATGAATAAGGGTTGGCTTAACATCGAATTTTTGTCTATAGACAAAAATTAAATTCAGGTGTAAAACGTTTAAAAGCTTCTTAATGCTAATTGGAAAGTAAACAGTGATGGTTTTATTCATTCTCAATAAACCTTTTGTACAAAATCCGGCATATAGATTAGAAAAATAATTTTAATGAAAATCGTAGCTACTAAGCATTTAATTAATCACAGGTTATTGGAATTGAATAATTACCCATTCCTATATCTATATGTATAATGACTGTATTTACATTCACATTTCCAAAAAATACTTCACATCAGAGTGGTCAGAATATCTCAAAATTTACTGGTCCTACGTATACTATGCCAAAAAGTATGTGGAAAAAAATCTCAAAATCAAACTACCAAAAAATATTCAAACAAATATAATGTATTTACTTATATATTAAAGATTTACAATATAAAAATAAGATGTGACAGGATTGACAATGAGACAACTTTCCACCAGAGACTAAATGATGTAGATGTTAACAACTATAGGTCACTGTACGGCCTTCAACAATGAACAAAACCCATACCATATAGCAAGCAATGAACAGCCTTGACATGACAAAATGTAAAACAATTCAAAGTTCATTCAACTGCAAAAAAATTTCCATAACACAACAAATTGCTCTTTCATTAATGATGCCATCAATTGAGAAACTGTCAAAGCCCATCCTGTTTAGTTTTGCTTAACTGAATATACATTTTACTTTCCTTTTGAGATTAGAAAAAAAAAACTAATGAATCTGAAGAAATTTTCAAAACATTTCAAATTTAAATCAGTCTTCATCACTTAGCTTATGTGTAGCAATTCCCAAACAAATGGAATATTGATAATTTAAGAGGAAGATAAAAAGTAAACTGATTTTCAAATAACATGACCGACCATTAATGTTAAAATAGTTTTAACAATTGGCATTTTTTGCATGGCAACAGTACAAATGGCAATTCATTTAAGAGAAGAAAGTCTGAAATAATGGATTCCACATCTTAAAATTGGCTGATTACCACACATAACAAATTAAAATTCCTTCAAAAATGTGCTGTACATTGTAAAAACTGACATGGCAAAAAATCAACAGAATAAAAAGGACACATATTCATGTAATAAATAAAATGATTATTAAATTATAAAGATGATAAGTAACGATAACATTCCTTGTCTAAACATAAGCTATCATCAAACAATATATAATTACAGTAATTATAATGATTAGATACTCTATTAGTACTTTACGTCAATACATGTATGCTTAACCTTGGGGTAAGTGTACCATTTCTAGGTTATTAGTCACGGATCTATTCATATCAAAGATAAACTGGCCTTTACCTTTGGGATTTAAGCCAAACAAAAAATTACACAGCATTTTATACTATCAAGTGCAAAGGTTATTGTCAGACAAATATGTTTAGATAATATGGTGTAATGCGAGAATCTCTTTTTTACTTTATGATTTCTTTGTTTGCCAAATTTGGATAGTTTTTGTAACTTTAAACCTTAAACATATTTCAGTTGAATAGCATATTCTAGTGAACCTTTTAAGATCCCCTATACTATAAACTTCAAGTATACAATGAACATACTTCTCTTAACCTTTCAAGATCTCCTTCTGTGATTGAAGCAATACAAACACGCAAAGTGCACCCTCGCCTGCGAACAATCACTGGCACATCTTCTGACAATGACCGGGTAATAACCGGACATGCAGGACCAAATCTTCTAATTACATCTCTTTTGAGAAAATTCCCATTAGCACTTTTGTTTTGTTTAAATTCAGATGAAATATTGTGAGACCCAGTTGGCACTGTTAGCAAACCATTGTCATTACTGTTCACTTGTTTTTTCAATACGGCTGCTGTTAACTTGGTATAATTATTATCTTCTAAACTTTGATTTTTTGCCAGATTGTTCATGTCTGTCATGGAATGTTGTAAATTGAGAGGTACCACCTGTTCTGTTACTACTGATGTTGACAAATTATCATCAAATACAACATCATCATCATCATCATCATCTTCATAAACATAAACATCCTCTTTCTTTGCTGTATCATCTTTGTTCTTCGTATCATCTTTCCCTACTTGTTCACATCTGTTGTGATTTTTTTCTAATATAATATTTTCCAACTTATTTTTTGTATCAGATGTTGTATGCTTTTCCTCTTCCGACAATTTTTGCTTATTTGACGGTGAATCCTTAATAACATCATCATGTCTTGGAGGCTGATTTTCAGTTGGATTATAATTTACACTTTCTCCTAATTCTACATCTGTATTCTTGTCAATGTGATAATCTGATGAATCCAAAGTGTTGACATCCTTGTAGAATATCAAGTGATGATTGTCTTCTATGTTGTTTCCTTGCTTACAATCCTTGTTTAAATTAACGTCTCTGTCAATCTCATTACTGAACACTGAGAAATCAGTTGTTTTGTCTTTCTTATTTTTCTCACTGCTGGACTCATAAGTGTTTTTTTTGCCATCCTCATCGCTGAACTGTAATTCAATGTTATACAAATTTGATGTCAAATGCACATGTTTTGTTGAAGTAACTGGAAACATTGAATCAGCTACAAAATTTTATAAGGAATTCCATCTAGTGACCTTTATTTCAGAAACACTTTCGTCCTATTCCCAAGCTTCGATTGGAGGACTGTAAAGTGAATTATCCTTTAGGAAGTAACAGAACCATTTTATTACTGCTTTCAATTTCTTTCAAATTTCATTCAAGTACTTTATGTATAGACTAAATCTCTTAGGAGATGTCAAAGAATCTCATCCATAGAGAAGAAATAATCATATTTGCTTCAGGAACAAATCCAACAATTAGTACTTTCATAACAATGCCAAGCAATTAATAATAATTCTCAGATGTGCTCAATAGTATGAAGCAGTAAAGCAAACATAGTTTTCCAGGGTAATGTTTACATACAAATACCAAAAAGTACCTTGACATATCATTGCTCTGCAACTTTTGATTTCACAATCCAGGAAGAAAGACGATTATGCCATCACAATGTATTATAATGATCAATCAAAGACATTGTGTGGTGGGAGATTCACAACCACTTTAATAAGTCTCATCAGATTCATATATATGGCAATTAGTTGTTTCAGGTGATAAAAGTAATCTAATATATGAGCCAATATAATAATCATAAAGTCAAAATCCCTGTCGATATCACTTTATTCTTTTATAGATTCGATTCTTCAGTGTTCAGACATTTAAGTGGTTTGTTTCACATTCAGCTCTGATGAGAATCAGTACAGGTCATATCAAAATGTGAAGTGAAATCCATCATTAAACTTGAAAAATTAAATACACCTGAGATTTTATTAACATTTTAAATACATGTATGACTGCTTATTCAATAAAGTAATTTGTGCAAGTATCTTTGGTCTGAAAAAAGATTCAGTAGTGCATAAGCGATTCATACATGTAATCATGTACTAGTTTTTGTTCAGTTATCAGTTAAAAATTATGCAATAGTGTGAAAACTGAGCTAATGATGATACCATTTTCCTCACTTCACTATCACAAAAAATGTTTCTCCACCAAACAAAAGAACATTTCTAGGTTAATATCAGCACATCAGTTGTTGGAAGAATAGCAACTTCTTAAAGTGCATTCCTTTAGTTCACTTCAACAACTTTCCCATGAGATAATATTTAAGTTATGTAAAATGTCATAGTATATATACTAGTATTCCCTGATCTTCTTTGAACACAATTATAGTACTTGTTAAATTTCTCAGAAGTATGCAGGGAATTAAAGACCATTGTTACATCTGTATTCACTTTTATGTCAAATAAACTGTCTTTCTTTATAAAACTTATGACACATTTTATGTCTTAAGCATGCACCTTAAACTTTTCTTCCCCATTTAATTATATTCCACTTGATTTCTATTTTGTAAAAATATATCACCATCTTTACTTCTCTCTGTATGTTACTGTATGTCAATATTTGTTTAAATTATTCAGATATTATTGTTTGCTTCATGCCACTGAACGGCTTTTTTTATATCCCATGGTATTTATTGCAAGACAAACTATCATGTCTGATATCTATTGAGGACATTAAGAGTAAAACAATAATACAAACAGTTCCAGTTCTTTACAAATGTCTTGAATTTCACTCCTTATCCATGCAATTTCAAAGGCTTTATAAACACTTCATAAAATAACACAACAATTTAAAAAAGATACTGTCCTATTTAGGCAATGTCACACAAAATGATTTTCTCTTATAATCTGTGTCATTGATCAAACTTATAACTTTATATTGGAAAACATTAACGATAACACATCCAGGGATATTAATACAGCTACGTCATAACCAAATGAAATATATCTCCAGGAAATTAAATCTTGTAAAAACGAAGAGTAGGAAATCCTCACCACACTCATGTACAAGGAATTGATTACATTCTCCAAACAATGCCATTTTGTTTTCATTGTGAACAAATTTTAAAGCAGCTATGAAACAAATGTTTGGTTAACCTCCAGTGCAAGAATGTCAATGCAACAGCTGCTGTAATTTTTAGATCACATGAAAATATAAACATTACCATGTGATTTCTTTACAAAAACCATTGATATCGCTATGACAACTTTTATCTGTACTTTTGAGACATAAATACAAAGCTTTTTCACACATATTTACCATAAATGGCTCGTTAAATGACAGTTATTACATTATATCTGACGAAATTATTGCAACATTAAGGCAATTAATGTATGTGTAATAATATACATATTAATGCTTATTTAAATTTCCATCTATTAAAAATAAAACTTATAACAAGTTATGTCCCTTGAAAAAAGACACAGAGGTTCCTTATTACCTCACATTTTGTGATTCAATTTCTATTAATAACAACAAATGTCATCTAGGGTAGTGAACATTAAAAAAAACTCCCAACCCAACTTAAAGTTTAAAAAATACTATACAGTTATGAAGTAACATTGAAAACAGGAAATTGTACATGATGATATTGTATATGTTGCCAGATATTCAATGTATGTAGACTTAATACATCTTACTAGAGTGAAAAGTTCCCATTACATTCATATAGAAATTTTTGCAGGAATAAAATGGAATATTGTAAAATGGTCCTACAGAAACACTTATTAGGAGTTAGGCACATAAAACTGTCTTAAATTTGACAATAATGTTCTGGCCTTTGTTAGTCTTGTATCATTTTTAATTTTAGTTTCTTGTGTATAATTTGGAGTTTAGTATGACGTCCATTATCACTGAACTAGTATACATATTTGTTTAGGGGCCAGCTGAAAGACGCCTCCGGGTGCGGGAGTTTCTCGCTGCATTGAAGACCCATTGGTGGCCTTCAGTTGTTGTCTGCTCTATGGTCGGGGTTGTTGTCTCTTTGACACATTCCCCATTTCCATTCTCAATTTTATCAATAACTTTGGAAAAGAAAACAAAAAATTCCTGAAATTGAAAGGGGCTTTCTTTTGCCAATTCAAACAAAAATAAAATGTTTGAAATAAATTGATACAAACATACTGTATGAAGTGTCTGACATATGAAAATAAAATGCTTCACTGAGCGCAGCCTGATACGACCGCAGAGGTCGAACCCTGAACAGTTGGGGCAAATTTGGACACAATATTCAAGCTTGATACTGTCTGAATTTGGATTGTAATCAAATTTTTACATAATATAGGTTTCTGACACAAAATAAATGTGGTCAAAGATCTTATAAATCCATTGTGCAATACTGTGCAATTGAAAATTTCTTCTTGAAACTTTTCAAAAATTCGAATTTTAAAAATTTTGAAAAAAAATATGAATCCCTTAAAAAAAATTGGGAAAAAAATCCCCCCCCCCCCCCCCCAACTTTTTGAAACCCCACTTAGAGCAATAACCCCAAAACTCAATCCCAGCCTTTCCTTTGTAGTATGGAACCTTGTACTACAATTTCAGAGAGATCCATACACTTACACACAAGTTATTGTCTGGAAACTAGAATAAACTGCTTCGCTGAGCACAGCTGGATACGCCCGCAGAGGTCCAACCCTGAACAGTTGGGGGTAAAAATGGACACAATATTCAAGCTTGATACAGGTCTGAATTTGGATTGTAATTAAATATTTGACATATTATAGGTTTCTGAATAAATGTAGTCAAAGAACTTGAAATTGGTTATATGAATTGAATTTATATTCAATTAAAGATTTCTTGCTGTTGTGCAATACACTGTGCTGTTGCGCAATACTTAGTAAATCTGTTGTCAGACTATAAACAAATAAAGTTCAATTTCTTCTCAATGTCATATTTGAAATTTATGAAAATCAATAGGGAGTTTACATCAATAGCTATAAATAATTCACCAAAGTTTCATGATAACTGCTGAAAGCATTTTTGAGTTATTGTCCAAAACTGGAAAATCCCCTCTTTTTTAATGAATAAACCCCATAACTCAGAAATGTAAAATCTAAAATTTATAAAATTCTAAAGGGAGCTTACATCAACAGATATAAACAATTCACCAAAGTTTCATGAGAACTGCTGAAAGCATTTTTTAGTTATTGTCCGAAAACTGGAAAATCACCCTTTTTTTATGAATAAAACCCTGTAACTCGGAAACGTAAAATCTAAAATTTATAAAAATCGAAAGGGAGCTCATGTCAATAGATATAAACAATTCATTAAAATTTCTTGCAAGTTGGTGAAAGCATTCTTGAGTTATTGTCGGAAAATTGGAAAATCCCCCTTTTTTTAATGAATAAAACCCAAAAACTCAGAAAAGGTAAATCTGAAATTTATAAAAAACGAAAGGGACCTCACGTCAATAGATATAAACAATTCACCAAAGTTTCATGCATATTGGTTAAAGCTTTTTTGAGTTAATGTCCGACATGTTGACGACGGACGGACGGACAGACGGACGGACGGACGGTCAACGGTATACCATAATATGTCCCGTAAACGGGCGTATAAAAATGCTTGTTTTTGGCCCTTTTTTGGCCCCTAATTCCTACATGTTTTGGGCAATTAACCTCAAACTCAATCCCAGCCTTCCCTTTGTTATATGGAACCTTGTGGTACAATGTCAGAGAGATCCATACACTTACACACAAGTTATTGTCTGGAAACTAGAAAAATGCTTGTTTTTGGCCCTTTTTCCTAAACTGTTGGCCCCATAACCTCTAAAATGAATCCCAACCTTCTACTTGTGGTATTAAACATTGTGGTACAATTTCAGAGCAATTGAAATACTTATACACAAGTTATTATCCTGAAACTAGAAAAATGCTTGTTTTGGGCCCCTTTTTGGGCGCTTAATTCCTAAACGGTTGGGACCATCATCCCCAAAATCAATCCCAACCTTCCTTTTGTGGTATTGAACCTTCTTAAATAAATTCATAAAGATCCATTCACTTAAACTAAAGTTATTGTCTGGAAACCAATGTGTCTTCGGACGCAGACGCAGATGACTACATCATACCATTATCGATCCCAAAAAAAATGTTTGCAGTCGTATAAAAACAAGTTAAACTGTGAGCTACTGCTCATGATCACTAATGGATACCCTAGGTTTAAGAATCCTGTAAGCAGGAAATTGATGAGTCTGAAAACATATCACACAGTATAGATTGTTCACATGAAGTCTGACAACAAATCAGGAAGCTTTTATTTGTAGTTTCCTTGAAAAATGTGAAGAACTTTTCATATATGACCATAATGTGTTAGAATATACAAGTAATCGGTAAACAAGAAGTTGATGAGCGATGAATTCCGATACGGCATCATAAGGGTAAAGCATGCAGACATAAAGCCTGATAACAAATTGATGAATCTGGAACTGCATCAAACGGTATATCATGTTCAATTTAAAACTGATATCAAATTTCAGGAAACTCTGATTTGTAGTTCCTGAGAAAATTGTCACGTAATTTCATGGATGGATTCATCCTCCCTGCCCCAATCCCAATACTCAAAACCATTGAAAATCCTTAAGCTTAAAGTCATTAATCCTTTGATTGAATTTGAAAGAAAATAACCTATGATGTGTTTGAACCAGAAACTTCAAAATATTGGTTGTAAACAATAAAACAGTAAAAAAATAATGGTACATTCTGAAAGATCCTATCTGACTCTTACAAATCAATTTGAAAGAAGATGATCTCTATGCCTAGAATTTGAGTACCATTTTAGCACATATTTATGGATTTCACTTCAGAACTATAATTCACATGACCAATAAATGCTTCATTCAAAGACGCACACATGTAAATATATTCACATGTTGAGCTGTACATGTACATAACTATATGTGTGGGTTGGTGGTCTAGTGGTTAAGACCAACGTCTACAGTGCTGAAGGTCTGCATTAGATCCTGACTGAGGGCACTGGAAATTTCAGTACATTAGAAGGGTGATTTTCTTCCTCCCACACTCAACTCTGGTACCCATACCAGAGTTTAAACTAGGAATGGGAACTTTGTGGGCCTCTGTCGCTCGAAGTAGCCCCTGACTTTGACCAGGAGATCAATCTTCAGGTATCTCTTTGGTTTGTCTGTTCCCGCTGAGTTGCTCGGTGGTTCTCTCCGAGTACTTCGGCTTCCATCACTATAATAACAGACTTCCTGGTGTCCTAGCACTTCCGTGGTGTTGGGATGGGGATTTGTCCTTGATGGTGAGTTGTACATATATTAGTGACACATCTCCATTAATCCTGTTAGGGAGTGTTCATGGATACCACTGTACCATCGCAGTTTTCGAGGGGAGCTCCGAATAACGGAGGTATTAGCCCAAACATACATACATACATAATAATCAAAACCATCAAAGTTTAATTTTGTCTAGGGAAATTGTTAAATAACCATATATATTTTTAAATAATAAAATGTGATATGTACACATACATATACAAAAGCACAGTTACAAGTAAAACAATACTCTTACATTTCTATAGTATCAGAGAATGCTCATAGAAACTGAACACAAGCTCAAAGTATCTCTGACAGCTACTAATATAGAAATATTGCCTCCATAATCAAATATCAGCCACTATATCTCCAAGTAAACTTATTCTAAACGGGATAGCACATCCTAATTTTTACGGAGATTTTGTTTACTGAGCCCCGAAATTTAGATACGATCTGGGTAATCTTATCAATCCTTCAAATAAACTTATTCTGAAAGGTTACCAATTCAACGCTGTAATTAGATATTTGAATATTGTTTTATTGGTATAATATTGATTATGTTTATATCAGTAAATTAAAATCAAACTAAATAAGATTTTTATATAGATATGCACTTCCATGGCCCTACAATCTGTCCATACCTTGTATCTTGGCATTGCACAAGGTCATATTTTTCTCTGATTGTTAATGACGTCTTTACACGAAATCGATTGGATGTGTAATGATTGATATTTTAGTCTTAGATGCACGATTTTTTTATTAGTTGTTATTGGCTTTGAACTAGCTGTCAGTAACTGTGAGTACTCTCAGATCTGTACTTAGTGTCTTTTTTGTTGGGGGATGTATAAGTATACTGCCA